TTGTTGGACAGGCAGGGAGGGCTAGATCAGCTGGAGGGACTTTGAAGATCACTTTCTAGACTATTCCCCCCCCCCATTTTTATTTCACAGCACAGAAACATTTAAAAAAGAAGGGGGGAAGTAGGACAGAGAATTGCTAGCCTTTAAAACAAACAAACAAAAACAAAATAAATTATTTATGGATAGGATGAATGCATTCAACCATGTGAAGAATTTTGCATAATTTTTATTATATTCTTACTTTACCTGAAGTATTTTCACTGAAACAGTGAAACTCCTATCACAATCTTTGATGTAGCTCACCTGTCCCATGACAGGTGAACAAACTGAGGCTCCAGGAGGCCAATGGCTTTGCCCGAGATTGCATTGCTAGTTAATAGCAGAGTAGAGACTAGAGCCTAGGTCTCTGAATTCTCAATTTTTGTACCAGTGCTGTGGTTCCTCAAGGTAATGTTTTAGTAAAAAAATGGAAGGACTGGAATTAAAACTTCAGTTCTCTTTGTTTAGTGCTTTTGTGCCACACCACGGTTCGTGTTTGAGAATGCCTGGTTGGAACTACAAGTAAAATTGACAATTGATGTCCATCAGAGTTTAATTCTTGACATTATATTCTTTTAGTAAAGATTCTTATTACACACCAATTTATTAATTAAAAATAAAGTTGATTGGAGTGTGAGAGGCTCTTATTTCCTCCCTCTCTCTCTTCAGAATATATTGAGAACTTACTGTGTGCCAAACACTGCCATAGGCACTGGGGATACAGCAGTGAACAAGCTTTTGAAGTCCTTGCCCTGGTAACATTTATATTCTAGTGAGGGAGACTGACAACAAATGAAAAAAAAAAAAAATTAAATTAGTATGCTAGGAAGAAACTATTGAAATGCTTTTGATCCATGAATTAACCTCTTGGATAGCAGTGAAGTCAAGCCTGTTTTATACCAAATCCCATTATCTTGTAAGCTTTCCTATATTGGATAGACTGATGGGAAAGGGGCTCCAGGCAGAACTAAATTCTCAACGGTCTGTTTTTATCCACTGCCTACAGCAATATAGTGAATTCAGGTATGATCTGAGCTGATGGTTGCCATCTAAGGAAGACGAACAGACAGCAGATGGCACTGAGTACCTAGGAGAAAAGAGCAGGCGTATAAATGTTAATTACTGACGTGTGCATTTCTGTGTGCTGTGTACTATACTGAACACTTCATATGCAGTATCTCATGTGAATTCCGAAAGTATCCAGCTGAATTGGTTTTACTATCTCCACTTTATTGGTGAGGAAATCGAGTCTTAGTAGAGAAATAAAATGACTTGCCCAGGACCATGTGGAGTCAGGAAGTCTAACTTCAGAATCTGTTTACTTAGTCGCTACCATAATCCAGGATAAATTGAGTTGATAGTGTCAGGGTTCAGGGCAAAAGTCTGGGCCCAGCAGATAAACTGAGGCAGCAGCCCAACAGAATAAATGGTGATGCTTAGGGAAAGGCTGCAATGGGATAGGCAGGCAAACAGCTGCTCACAGTCTTTTCACTGGGCCTACAGACTCAAGCAAGACCACTTGCAGATGCCAGCTGCCTTAGGCAGAGCTATTAAAATCTTCTGTGCCTTGGCTAGGACTTTCTTCCAGGTAAGGGCTCTGTAGCCATAGCTGTGTAGGGATGGGGGGACAGCAGAAGGTTATTTGCCACCAGAATATGCTTTGTGGTGTACTGTCCTTCCCCTTAGCTGTACATTAAACCAGAGCTAGAGTTGGCATGGAAGGAACAGGGACTATGGAGTTACGTAGCTCTGGGTTTGATTTCTATCTCCGTTGCTTCTTGTGTGGGCCTCGGGCAACTTAATGTCTCTGAGCCTCAAATCTCTAATCTGCACAAGGGGGATAATGAATACCTACTTCACAGGATGAGTGTGAGCAACATGCCAAATGTAAAGAGCCTAGCGTGATATATGGCAAACACTCAAACAGTGGGTGGTTTCATATTATCATCACCAAAACTGACTTCAAAAATGTCCCCACTCCTCCTTTGGGAGCAAGGGAGAATGAAGAAAATAGGATACCAGGAAAAGATTAGTCTGAAGGACTAATGGACCACAGCTACCAAGGCCTCCACCAGACTGAGTCCAGTACAGCTAGATGGTGCCCGGCTACCACCACTGACTGCTCTGAC